GGCACCAGCATGACAAATGTCCTTTTTGTCAACATATATAACATGCACTCTTGGAAAATAAGGACAATTCCTGCCCAATTTCACTGCACGAAAAATACTTTTCTTGGAAGGCGGCACTGGGCATGTTTATCTTTTCCAGAGTGGGAGGCGACACATACGTGCTGTTTGCACATACTACCTGTCATTTTGACTGTCACTCGTACTTCTGGAGTTTGCCCAGAAAGAGTATGGAACTTGGCTTGCTCACACGACAGTAAGTCCCTATGCGTGGTTTCGATGACAGTCTTGGTGGATGATGGATTGTTAAATTACGATAGTATGTACATCACGCTAATAATATTTCCACCTTCTTGCGAGTTCGCCGAAGCAAGTCGTCAAGCGAGTCTTTGTAAATGCCCTCTTTAGTAAATTCTCACCAAAACGCATGCTTAAGGAGGTTTGGAAGAAATGTTCAAAATGGGAAAACGTGCCAAAAAAAGTATATGTTATATTTGAGCACATAAGGAGTTCACACGATTTTTTCAGATTTTTCGCCAGGGGAAATTTTCAAGAAAAAAATTATAACGTACTCACAGTTCAACACGGTCTCTTAAGAGAAAGCAAGGTTAGGTTTGCCTTTTGATTGAAACTAAGGTATAGTCTAAGCGCATTGAAATAAAGAAAAATGTTTTTAGATACCTTGGTACAAAAGCAAGATGCTCGACAAAAAAAAATCAAGCCTTACCAGGTGATTTTGAAAAATATTGGCAGTTACAGTCGTACAGTTTCAAGTTTGTAGAGTTCAAGAGGAGGTGCGCGGTAAAGGAGGCCGAACTGCACGGGCAGGGAGGACTCCCCATTCCTCACCTCTCTGAATAATACTGCCAAACCTTCTTAAGACCTCTCTATGTCGCTATTTCGCCTTGTATTACTCTATATCATTCACTCATATTCCCCAGTAGTGTAATGGGCACTGATTAAAGTCTTCTCCACTTATCACTACGCTAAACAGTCATCTTGTAGACACTGGAGGAAGTCTTCAGGGTCCTCTTTTTTACCCTCCAAGGAAAGCTATCGTTTACAGTTCTGGAAAGCTTTTGAACATGATTGTTTTATGCTTCTAATCTTTCTGTCTTGTTTCACTTTGATTTGGCACTTCATCAGACGTGACGCTCTCTGCTATGACAATCCGTAAACTAAACCTCACTGTCACTACTTAAACTGGAAATCTCCCCAGGCAAACGTATCACCATTGAGGGTGTCTTGCAGCAAAATGGTGATGCGTGGCGCTCTAGCTTGTTATATTCGTACCAGTTTCCCTTAAATTTTAGCCCTTAAACTAAAGAGATTGAACCATAATCTAGTATTTTTTGCAGTGGGACGCCTGACCTTCAGATTCCTCTGAAATTATTTTTTTTGATCCCATGATTAACGTAGCCTTCGGCTTTGCTGCTTTTTAGCTGCAAGTCTGCTTGCAAATTTTCTTCTACCTCAAACTTTATGTAAAAAATTACTATAAATAAGTAGTAAAGGTCCTAATTGGTCGGTTGAGTGCTAGAATACTTGTTTATAGGGCCTAAAAATAAGAGTAAAAAAGATTTTTGTAAGAGTTAGCCCTTGTTGTACGATGGCGACTAAAAGCTGAGCAAATAGATACAAACGTTACGTTATAAGGGAAATTTTCAGCTACACCAGAGCATTTAAGAAACTATCTGTTTTGGTTGAAATATATGAAGAAGTGACTTTTTTTTCTTAGAGGTTAAAGGCTAGAATTATATCTAGTTATAATGTGTGGTAACATTTTTTTAAGCCATTGTGTGTGTTTGCTCAATTTCCAGTCTTATATAAAAGGAAAAGGAAGAGTGACTGAGCATAAGATGACACCACTAGCCGAAAAAGCAGAAGAAAGAAATACAAAAATATATGGCATAATTTAAAAGGCGTGTTGAGTTACAGCTGTTAAATAAATTTGTATACTTGTTGTATGAAAAGCAGAAGGTAATGCAAATAAAGCTTGCACATGCTAATATTAAATTTATAAGAACATTACTGTATTTAAGTATCTAAGTAAGGCACTAATGTAACTTGCATGGAATAATAGTGTCAAGAACTATGCAAAAAAACTATGAGGGTATGGACGAAATGTGGTAATAAGTCAGGGTTAAGGACGAATCAGATGTAATTAAGGTTCTATGAACCAGGGTAAGTGAGATAGTCATAATTAGCTACAATATACTTAAGCCATTGGGCCCGTAGTGTCATGTCTTTGCCTTTCCTAAAGTCAAGATCATTAAATGTTGCTATACGACCGAGGGAAAAAGAAGACGAAAAGCGAGACAAGTGACAAAAAAATATTTTGAAAAGTGTATGCAAATAAGATGAGAAATTATTTCTTGTAAAAGATTCTGACAAATAACGCCAAACACTTTTTTTTATTATTTATGTACTCGTATTACTTTTTTATTTAAAAAAAATATGCTTTCAAGGCTTAAACTGGTATTATATCTGCTTATTTTTCTAGAGATGTGGCTATATAGAACTTCTTGTCTACAATTGGATCACATTAATAGTGAAACGATTCTCTTAGAAACCTAATAAAAAAGGCAAAAGAATTGAACTATCTAAAATGAGGTTCATATGATTCTAAAAAACATTTTTTTAATGATAAGACATATGTTGTTTATGTGACAGATGTTACACCAAAATTTTTTTTGAAACAAATGGATAATTTTAGAGGAATTTTCATCCAATCCTCCTTATTTCATAAAAGTGAAAAGTTTTTTAACGTTAAAGAAACTGTTTGATCATCATTTTTAAGGTTTTAATACTATTTTTGAAGAAGTAACAGTATTTGCTCTAATAAAAAGAAAATTTTTAATTCCTACAACAACTTAAACAAATTATAAATTAGAAGTGAAAAAATGAAAATGTATGTTCCAAGATATTGTAAGAGATCAGATGTTTGCACAGAAATGTTCGATTAAGAATTGTGATTGACTTACATAGTTTAACTCGTGTCTTACGATGAAAATGCTTATTCTTTAAGTGATAAAAATTCTAATCGAATGAACAGATACATAAAAACGTAGAATGTGTCAATAATGTATTGCAGCATACAGTATGAGACAAAAAATAGTTTGGATAAACCAGAAAATAACAATTATATTAATTTTCTAAGTAAAATTCATTATTCTGTTCGTGATGGCCTTTTAGCTCAGGAAACTTTATTCTATAATAAGCTCAAACAATATGTGAATCAAGAGTTAAGGGATATAACATGGTTTGTACAATGGTATGTTTGTAACGGTGGTTAAATAGATAACCAAAGTACAATTTTATCGCTTGAAGAATGATAAAAAAGCAAATTCAAAATTTTACCATGGTACTGATTTGTAAAAAAATGTTAAAAAAACCAACTTTTTTACCAAAAATTTTATTTTCTTGTTGTTTGACAAACTGTTATCAAGCTTATTATTTTAATAATTCAGCTGGGCTACAGAAGGCTGTGAAGTCATTTTACAAATCCTGTATATTCCAGAGGCTCATAAGATGTCTTGTTGGGTTTGAGTAAGGGAAACACTACACTTATTTTGTATAGTGTTCAATAAATAAAAAAAAGTCAAGGTTCAGATGGCTCGGAACTTTTTTTTTCCAAGAAATAGAAGAAATTCTGCACAAAAAATATTTTTTCAAATTTTTCAGACTTTGTCAGTTGAGTTACGCATTAGTTCCTAGTCTAGCGTATCATGCTTGTGATGTAACAGTGGTTGCTAATTTTTGTTTAATAATAGTAAGTATGTGTACAAAGAAACGATAACTATAAAGCATAGAACTAAAAATAAAATGATAGTAACAATAATATTAATTAATTATTTCGCATAACAAAATAGATTGTTTCTTTCACTTGAGTAGAAGTTTTGTCAGTCATTTCTAATTTTAATTGTCTGTACGGTAATATTAACTGTGGGCTAAAAAAGAAAAATCGATGTATCAGTAATGCCATAATTACCGGACTGCATGGGAACGATGTGTATACAGTCATGATAAATTCAATAAAATTTTTTGCTTGGTGCAAAATTTAAACATAAAGATTCACTGCCAGAATTCCTCTAAATTGGATAATAGTCACCCATAAAATGAATGAAGGGAAGCATCCTTGAAGCGAAAGTACAATTTAGTTAAGTCGTAAAAGTACAAGATTTAAATTAGGACTTCAGATTCACTGGGGTTTATGTATAGAATCCTAATTACTATTTCTTATGCATCTAAAATTTCAAAGTAAACGTTTTAGTAAGGCATGATTCACATAATTGTTAGAATGTACGAATAGTACAAAAAAATATGAAAGTTGAAATAATATATTTTAATTCACTGACTTTCTCACAAAAGACTGTGTCCCGCACTATGTAGAATTTTTCATTAATTGTCTATTATTTTTACATAAAAGTATTGTAAGCTGGAAAACATAAGTAGTTTAAATAACTATTCAAGTTAATATTTATTATAATTGTAGTAGTTGAAAGGTGAAAATGAATAAAAGGTGGTATAATGAAAATGTGAAATTTTCTTCATCTAAAGTGATCTTATAATTCGGTGCTATAATTTCTTTTTTTTTGACTTGCAACAAATTTAAATAATTTTTGCCCCAATTCATTTCTTTGACTTAGTCAATAAGCAACTTTTTATTCATTGTTGATTTCTACTTTATTTAAAAGAAAAGAATTACACCTGCTTGAGTATTACAGTGCATTCTTCAGACGTATGCATAACAAGACTATCTTTGACGCATCATCATCGTAGAAGTTTTAGAAAACTTAAAGAAAAAAAAGTTTGATAGTTAGTAATTTGTAAGAATTATAATTCTAATACATTATTAAATACGTAATAAACATCTGACAATCTTGGTTCATTGTAAGTGGAAAATTTCATATGCATACAAATAGAATATTTAAGGGTTTATTCTTTATTTACTTGATATTTTGTAACAACTATGTAACATCTTTCCGTCTTTCTAATTTTAGAACTATCCATGATAAACTGCTGCAAAGGCTACTGCGTTGATTTATTAAAAGAATTGTCGAAGACTATTAATTTTACATATAGCTTGTCACTGTCTCCTGATGGTCAGTTTGGAAGATATGTTCATAAAAGCAACCGTAAGTATATTAGTTTTTAGATTATATTTTTTTATAGTTAAACCGTAAGCTTGAGATTAAGCTAGAGAAATAATAAACTAAGTAATACGTTTTTATAGCTAAATTAGTAGGCTGCAGAGTTAACTTCAGCATGCAAGTCAAATATTAGGCCGTAAAACAAGACATTTCAAAAATATCAACTAACACTCAGCTTCTTAGCTTCATACGTACACGCTTTTTCAACCAACCTCCTAATACTGTATTTTAAAATAGAAGCTGTGTAATTGAATAAAGCTACTTTATTTTGTGTCCAAAAATCATAAGTCATGTAATTTTATGCTTTGAAAAATGTAAGACACTACGAACTAATAAATAACATTAAAATTTACCATAAAATACACAATATTCATTGCAAGTTAAAGAATTACATTATCTCAATATCTATGTGTTAGTTCGTGTACTAGATTTATCTTGCATCTAATAAACCAAGCATGAATAAGGAATTCACCATACACCTTTAATTCTTTTTATTTGTGATAGTACAAGAAACAAATACAGATGCTGCTTTTAAATATCAATCCTAACCACTTTAATAAACATTGAATATTATACAGAAGCACAGTAAAAAATCTCGACGTACAAACATTGGATCATATATTTTTACTGTCATTAACTGAAACAATTAGATTTCGCTTTTCAGTAATCCGAAGCACTTCTATTTCAAACTTTATACACTAATAATTACAAATAAATAGGTACAAATTTCTTGCTTTTTTTAAGTTTCGATCTTATGTATAAAAAGTCATACATCCAAGAGATGGCATAAACTTACCAGAGACATTCCTAAATGTCTTGCCCCAAAGATACTTGTCCTAATATATTCTATCTGTAATTTTGTACAGTTATTTAAAAAAAAACAACCTGGGTCATTCTGTATAATCGTGATCCAGTGCAGATCAATGGAATCTGTAAAGATCAAAAAGCAGTCACATGGATCACACGATTTGCGATAAGAAACCACTTAAGCTCATGAGAATAAAAAAAAGGCTCACGGAAGTAGCATAGAACACTCTTTTTTTACTCTCATGAGTAATAATTTTTTCGTAATGCCCATTGTGTGCTTATTAGAACTGTGGCCTTGGTGAGCAATATTTACATGTATCTGTGACTTTATTTCGCTTGATTTTGTTTAAAAAAAAAAAAAAAAATTTACAAATAAAATGTACCGAACGCATATAAGAAATTGTTCTAGATAATAACTACAAAAATCATTACCTGACTAAACCAGAATGGATTTATCAATTATTTCTTACACAAAAGTATTCACTCTTAGGTAGTAACGACTATGCCAGAGCTCAGTAAAAAACTGACTAAACAAGAAGTAGACCATTAAAAAATATAAATAAACTGACCGTCTTGACGGCATAGTCCTAGTCAGGCAACTAAGCCTAGCTGCTAATGGGCTTATATGACAAAGTAAGATTTGATTCTGCTCGAGTTCACATCATATCAAAATTTATCCATCCCAGTTAAAAGCCAAGCTGCAAACAAAAGAAGTAGCACAAAACGTAAACTTGGCCTCAGCTCTTGCTAGTTTTAAGGTCCTAATTAATAGAAAATAATAAGCTCTTACGAAATCAATAATTGGCAAACAAACGAAAGTTTTTTAATAATAAAATTGTCTACTAAATCTAACAAAGAATAAAATTTGTGTACAAAACATCATATTACAGTTTTTTATTGACAAGAAAATTTCTCACTGTAATCAATATCATAATAATAACCATCGTCACCATCATCTTTACTCTTATAATCATCAACGATATAATAATTATGATCATAACAGTCTACATCACTATCGTTGCTACTATCTTCATCTTTAACATCAACGTCGTCATCGCAATGATAATGATTATTATGACTATCATCATTACCATTATCATTATAGACGTGATCATCACTATCTTCATTATTGACATTATAATCATCACTATCAGTTCAATCATCCTCATCATTATCATTATGATTATCACAATCATTCCAATCATCATCATCATAGTTATTATGATCAGAAGCTACATTATCATTGTATTAAATATAATCTTCATCATGATGAATTATATTTTTATCGTCGTTACAATTTTAATTATCATCATTATCGAAATTATTGTTGTAATTGTTATTATTGTCATTTTTGTCGTCATCACTATCATTATTGCTATCGTCAACGTCATCAGCATTACTATCCTTACCCCATTATTAAAATTATCATCATGATGCAACAACATCAAAATGAGTTCATTATTATCACCATAATTATTATCATGATCATCATAACTATCATTATCGTGAGCAATATCATCATCATCATTATTATTGTCGTAGCCATCATCATTATCATTATCAATACCGTCAACATCATCGTTATTATAATTTTTATCATCATCATGACCATCAACATTACTACCGTTATCATCATCATCATCACCATCATCATAACCACCATCGTCATTAATATCGCAATCTTTATTATCAACATTACTATTAACATCATCATAATCATCATCCTCATTTTTGTTATTATCGTAATAATCATCATCATAATAATCATTATTCTTATTATTATTATCATCATTACAATAGACACTATAACTATCATAACGATTGTCAGTATTATCATCATTACCATCTTCAGTATAATTGAATAATAACTATCATTATCATCGTCATGACCATTTAAAATATCATCATTATGACCATTACTATAACCATCATCATCTCTATCTTTGTAAGTCATTATCAATATTATCTTTAAGATCATCATCTTATTACTATTAACGTTATTAGTATGATCTGCAATATAGTAATAATGCTAAATATCATGATTATAATTATTATCAATAATTTAAACATCGTCATCGCCATCATTATTATTATCATAATAATTTTTGTCATTATTAGTAATATTACTGTTAGTATATTCGTCATGACTATTATTATTATAATAATAATAGTCATGACGAATATACTAACAGTAATATTACTGTTAGTATATTCGTCATGACGAATATACTAACAGTAATATTACTGTTAGTATATTCGTCATGACGAATATACTAACAGTAATATTACTGTTAGTATATTCGTCATGACGAATATACTAACAGTAATATTACTGTTAGTATATTCGTCATGACGAATATACTAACAGTAATATTACTGTTAGTATATTCGTCATGACGAATATACTAACAGTAATATTACTGTTAGTATATTCGTCATGACGAATATACTAACAGTAATATTACTGTTAGTATATTCGTCATGACGAATATACTAACAGTAATATTACTGTTAGTATATTCGTCATGACGAATATACTAACAGTAATATTACTGTTAGTATATTCGTCATGACGAATATACTAACAGTAATATTACTGTTAGTATATTCGTCATGACGAATATACTAACAGTAATATTACTGTTAGTATATTCGTCATGACGAATATACTAACAGTAATATTACTGTTAGTATATTCGTCATGACGAATATACTAACAGTAATATTACTGTTAGTATATTCGTCATGACGAATATACTAACAGTAATATTACTGTTAGTATATTCGTCATGACGAATATACTAACAGTAATATTACTGTTAGTATATTCGTCATGACGAATATACTAACAGTAATATTACTGTTAGTATATTCGTCATGACGAATATACTAACAGTAATATTACTGTTAGTATATTNTCGATACCCAAATTAGATAAATAATTATTATTATTATCAAAAACATTATATTTTATATAATAACTACCATTAAACTCACTAAAATTTTTGAAACCATTGTTATTAAAGTCGTTATCACTATCACTATGATCATCATTAGCATCATCATCATCATTATTATTATTATGATTCTGATCATTGTTATCATTATCGTAAGTGCCTTAAAAATGACCCAAACCATCGTTATTATTATAGTTATCTTTACATTGATAATCGTTGTCATAATCTTCATTATTAAAATAGTTCTTATTTTTGTTATCAGTATCAACAATTCACAATTGTAATGATGAAAATTACTTTTAATATTATCATCACCACTATTTTTACTATCACGATGCATACCATTGTAACCATTTTTAACTTTACTTTTATTATTAGTAACATCATTTTTATCTTTTTAACATCAACATTATTATGCTTCAAAACACCATCATAATCATAAGAATTATCATAATCATTATCAATATCATCATTATAATTCTTTCTATTAGCAACATGATTGACATTATCATAATCATCGTCACTGTTGTTATCAACATTATTATTATTATCATTATTATTTTTATTATTATTATTATAATGATTATTATTATTATCATTGTCAGTATCATTATAGTCACCTCATTTGTAATCATAATGACCGTTATCTCTATTGTTACTAACATAATTTTTTGGAATCATGTTATTGTAATTATCAATATTTTTATCACAATTGTTACAGCAGCACTTTTTTAGCGTTATTTCCTGTATCGTCGTAAATATAATGGTTTTAAATTTCGCTACATAATTATAAAGATTATTGTTATAACTATTAACAACCTCATTTTCATGATTATCATCATCTCAATTGACAATATTATCATTATTGACAATACAATCATGTTTATTATTATTATTGAAATGATTGCGATTAGTTATGTTACTACCACTACTATCATCATTATAACTTTTGTCATTATTATCACTATCGTTATTTTTTATATTGTTACTATTATTATTATTAATATTTTTTAAATTATTTTTATCATAAAAATCAACGTTATCCTAATCACTGTGATTAATATTATCACCATACTTATTATCGTTATGATAATAACTTATATCATTTTCATAGTCGTCCTTATCATTACTAATCTCATTATTATCATCATATAAACTATTATTTTCTCCATTAGCATAGACGTCTATCATTATCTTTATTAACTAACGATTATTAACGTC